TCTTCCTCCTGCTCCTCCTGCTCCTCCTCCTTTTCCTCCTCCTCCTCCTGTTCCTCCTTCTCCTTCTGCTCCTCCTCCTGCTCCTCCTCCTCCTCCTCCTCGGGCCCCCACTGGGATCCAGGGCCGTCGGAAACGGTTCGGGATGAGAAGTTGGTCCTTGGGGAGGGGCCCAGATTTTTGGAGAGCCGCGTCGCGAAAAAACGTCTTCACATGTTGAGGAAGCTGTCTTTTCGCTCCAGCCATGCCTCCCTCGCCCCCCGCTCACACTCCTTGTTGTTCCCAGTTATCTCCTTCCGAACTTCCGGCTTCTTCGAGTGAATTGCGGCTGGAACGTTCAGCTTCGGAGAACGCATGCCGAGTCTCTCTGCAGTAGACGGACTGGACACCACCTTCGTCGTTGTCGACTTCAGAAGCATCGTCCAAGCCGTCGAAGGCGACAGATGTATCTCTCTTATTTCTCAAATTTCTGAACTGGAGTTCTTGTTACTGCTGTGGCCCCTCCGAATTCTTCTTGCACTCTCGCCTGCTCCTTCTCGGGCCACCCACTCCTGTCCAATACTCCGACTCGCTCATATGCAGACCACTCAAATTCAGACTCACTCACACTCGGACTCACGCATACTCAGTCTCACTCACACTGCAGATATGTTCAAACGATGCTCAGTCGTACTCAGACACTTTGCGCATCGAAGGTTCGCTGACATTCAGACTCATTGACACACAGACTCCACTCACACCCGACGCAGACGCCGTCACAGCACACTCACTCATACTCCGATTCACCCAGACTCACTCACATCCAGACTCACTCATCTTCGAACAGCTCACAGTGTGGTACACTCATGCTGAGCTTAGGCCCACCGCGATGTGTTGTAGTAGGCGCGCCACCTGGGCACCCCACAGAGGAGCCGCCGGGGGGGGTAGGACACTTGCCCGTTCGCACCAAGGCTGTTTGCTCGTTTTGCAGGACAGAGCCCCTTCTTTTGATCAAGCAGTGGCGAAACGTCCTGGCTCGCCTATGGGCCCACCAAAGATGTTCTAAGAACCTTTTGTGGTCTACGCGAAATGTTCTTAGAACATTTGCGGCTGAGACCTTCTTCTTAGCACATCGGGTGTATGTTCTCAGAACAGTGTCTTTGTTCTCCGAACATCTGTGGGTTCTGAGAACCTGTCGCGGTATGCCTATAGCATGCCGGGACGGTCGGTCCCTGCTCAGTTTGAGAGCCTCGTGATCACCGCGAGATTGCAGGCATGGCAGCGCCCAAGAGGAGCCGCCAGGGTGGGGTCCCGCAGAAGCTCGGGTCCGGTTGGCCTCCCACCTGGATCCACCAGGTGCCGGCCCCCGGATCGGCGGCTGGTCCCCTCGTTTCTTCGCGCGCGGTGGGGTTCAGGATTTCCACTGCACAGCAGCTCCCCCCAGACTTGGGGCGCTCTCGGGGCATTCTTGGAGTCTTTGGAGGCTTTCTTTGGGCCCTCTCGGGGGCATCAATTGGAGACCAACTCGGGGTCGTTCGGAGGACACCGATGAAAAGAAGGGAAGCTGAATGGGAACGCGTTCCACCCGTCAACGCGCTCGGAACGGATTGCTGGAAGTCTGGGGCACGGCGGGGACATGGAGAAGAACGAGGGGGGAGGAGTAGGAAGAGAAGGAGTAGGAGTAGGAGGAAGAGGAGGGGGAGGGGGAAGAGGAGGGAGGAGGAGGAGGAGGAGGAGGAGGAGGAGGAGCGAGGGGGGGAAGGAGGACGAGAGAGGAGGGAGGAGGAGGGGCGAGGGGGAAGAGTATGGGAGGACGGAGTAGGGAGGTCGGAGGAGGAGGTGGAGGAGGACGAGGAGGGGAACGAGAACGAGAATATCAGTTCACCATGTGAGAAAACATTTGGCATTAAAAATGGTGGCGGTGGTTTCCGCGGGTTGGCTTGCCTGCAAGCATTCTCTCGGTTGTGCTGAGCACCTCAGACCACAATCTCTGCCTGATCCGACACAAATATTTTGGCAGGCCCAGAAGTTGCCACCAACATCAATATCGGCGTTGTGCCTCCACCGGGGGAATAAGATTCCGATCTCGGTGTTGGTGGTAATATTCTGGCTTACGATGTGACCGAACTATTTCCACCCACACTGGAATCCAGGATCATTGTCACCGTGGAGGCAACCCCTTGTGTTGGTGTTGGTGCCCATTTCCAGGCCTACAAATGTTCTGTCGCTTTGCCTGAGGTTGGAACGAGCATGTCCTCGTGAGGATCCGCAACCTCAACAAAACCATTCGCCTAACTTCATGCTCGTATTCATACAGTGGCGCCCGTGCACCAAGCCCGCAGCCAAATGAAGCGTATCTCCAAGAGGGGGCTGGTTGATACTCTCCACTGCTATCACGTAGGACGCTCAAAGCAACAAGCCTTCGTGGCCATCATGGCATGCCGAAACACATGTTACATGTTAACCAGTGTTGTCTTGGTGGTGCTGCGAAAGAAGTGTGGCTACAATTGATCTCGCAGGAGGTTGGAGAGGAGGAGGGTGAGGAGGTCCCGCTTTTTCCTTAGTCCCTTGATCACTTGGTCCTTTTCTCGGCTGCCTCGATGGTCAGGACGTCCAGCGTAGCACGAAGTAGCCCGATGCCGCACGAGATATGCACGACGCTCCACTTCCAGAACTTGGTGTCGTATGTGAAGCGATAGTCTAACGTCGAATGTTGTTGCTGCCACCAATTCATCAACAACTCCACTGTCCACAGCCGTCCATCATTTGGCCTTGCCGTTGTGGAGTGCGCACGTCAGACCTGAATGAAATGCGGCGCGCTGCAATCCAGTAGAATTTCGATCTTGGCCCAATGTATCATCGCCCTTCGGTGTATTCCTTGTACCACACTCTCGCAACAAACGGCATATACATATGTGTATATATATATATATATACAGAGAGACCGTTTGTCGCATACGGACTCGCCCAAATCGCGAACCACAAAGCTTTCCATACACCCCTGTCCGATACCTGCCGATCCCCAGCCCAGGGTTCGAAATTGACCGCTGGGTATACGCCTGCCGCCGCACGTCGCAGACGGTTGTCCCCACTGTCTGGCCCCCCGCTCGCGTCCCCGAACAAGAGTTGGCGCCTACTCAGAGCTTGCCGACAGGCATCTTGTAAAGATTCCGTCGTTGGGTCCACCGCATTGCCATGGATTCTTTGCCCGCGGCGCTGGGGGGGCCGCCACCATGCTTGTGGACGACGATCAATGGAGAGGAAGCATGTTGCCAAAATATTTCCAGATGTCTAGAACTGTTTAGAACATGCCACACGCATGTTAAAAAACATGTTTAAACCATTTGTTTGGCAATGTTCAAACATGTTAAACACGTGTTCAATTCAACGGCAGGATTGTTTGGGTGCCCATTGTCATGGCATCCACAACTCATGCTGGTCGTGCTGTGTGCGAGCTGCTCCGACTAAGCATCCACTCTTGGTGTACAGCCAACACACTGAAGTAAGGGCCGCTCTGGGTTCTGAAGGGGCTCGCTGTTCCTTGGGTCCTTCCTTGACTGCTCCTCTAGCCGTCCTCGTGCACCCAGGCCAGGCGCTTCGGGGCCAAAAACAGAAAGGGGCTTTGTTCCTGATTTAGCGTTCCTTCTGGTAGTACCTCGACTGTATGGTTCCGATCCAGAATTCTTAGGACAAGTCCAGTTCCGATGACATGATATTTCCAGCTCTTCCACGCATCGGTACCAGATGCCCAGATCGGCATTGGCAGCAGCACCAGCCTGGCCAAAAGCACAGTCGGCCGTGAGTCCGAGCGACGGTTGGTGCTTCGAGGGCCGACCCCTAGCAAAAGCATGATCGGCCGTGAGTCCTGGCGATGCCGGGTGTCCTTCAGCTTGCTCCCGACCTTGGGACGGAGGATTGCGGCCATCATAGCGGTTACAAAGAGAGGTGTCGTGACAATGCCGTGGCTGGCTGTGTTTGGAAGAGCTGGGAGGGGGGAGGAGGACGGAGGAGGAGGAGAGAGGGAGGAGGGAGGAGGGAGGAGGGAGTGAGGAGGGAGGAGAGAGGAGGGAGGAGGGAGGAGAGAGGAGGGAGGAGCGGAAGGACGAGGCACGAGGGCGACGACGGCGAAAGCGACGAGGACGAGAAGAGGGCGGGGGCGGGGGCGGCGGAGAGGACGCGAAGGAGGATTCGACGGTGCAGGAGAGGGGCGCGGGGGGTGGGGTGCGAAGCGCAGGAAGGGCGCCGGACGGGGGACTCCGGCACGCAGCAAAGCATGGAGGCCCTGCATGCCCTCGTAGCTCCGTTTTTTTGAGTGCGCCAGCGCCGAACAGCTCCCGGCAGGCGCTGAAACTGGCGCCGGTTTAGCGTTGATTTCGTTCCGGTTGGCGTCGAGCAGCGTCCAGTTAGTGCCGGCCAGCGCCGATGAGCATCGAACGACGTCGATTCGCAAGAGCCAACAAGATGGTATGGGAGGCTCCCATGGAGTTGCCGCAGAGGGGGACTCGTCAAACACGCAGGGACCGATAGGCCTCTGAGATCCTAGTAGAGTCAGTGTAGGACTGTCTCGGGACCTTCTTGGGAGCCTTCCATGAGCCCCTACCCGCGTCGGATCCTGAATGATTGTTTTTGTTGGGCCCTCTTGAGGCGCTTTTGAGTCTTCTGGAGAATCTGTGGCATCACTCCTCTGGGCCCCTCTTGGGACTGTCTTGGGCGTCTTGGAGCCATCTTGAGGTCCCAGAAGCCCATCGGAAGCGAGAAGGAGAGAAGTTTTTAAGCTTTGAACGATCTGGGCCTCGCGGGGATATCCTTGGGAGGCTCAGTGGCCATCTGGAGTCGTCTTGAGGTCACCTGGAGTCGTCTTGAGGCATGCTCGAGGCAATACTTAGCCCTCCTGGTTTGTATGTTGCCAATATTGGGCCATTTGGGCGCCATCTAGTGCCACCTTGAACACTTTGGCCCATTGCGGGGGGGAAGTGAGTCCCCTCGAGGTACTGCTGAACACCGTCAGTATCGGCAGCATGGCCCTCGCCAGGTCGCAAGTAGTAGTTGCTGTGTTGGTGGGGATCATCGTTATCCAAAGTCCCCGCCAATAGGGTGATGGAATTCTGGCCCTGTCCACAACGTGACGTGTGACCGTGATGTCCTCGGAGGTGTTAGCGCTGGCAGTGAGGCTGCCGATGGCAGCCGCGGGGATGGCGAGAGCGACGCTCGGTCGCGCGCCGCGCTGATGCGTCAGGCGCTTCGGCCCGACCGAGGCAGTTACGGCTCAAGGCTGCGAAGTCTTCTCGAACGGCGTCCCAGCACAGCAAGGAGCCCACGGTAGGTTCGTGTCGTGTCGACGCGGCGGCGACCCCGGCGCGGGCGTGCAGGGTTGAGCGCCGCCAGCCCAGAGCCGGCCGATGTTCAGCGGTGCGCGTCCTCGGAGGGCCACGGGCGGTCAAGGTGGAGCGAGCTGCGCGGTGTCAGCAGCGCTGGCGCAGGAGTCGTCACGACACGACCTTGCCGTAAACAAGCTCGGCGGAAATGGCCCGCTCCTCCTCGCTGCTGATCTCCTGCGCCGTCGCGGTCGTGGCCGTCGTGTCGGTGGCCTCTCTGGGGCTCAGCTTCGTGGGGACGCCGGCGACGGCGGGCCTGCGGGCCGGCCAGCGCGAGCCCAGCGTGGAGATGCAGTTCTTCGGCGGGTCGCCGTCGCCGGCACCGTCGCGTCCGTCGTCGGCGGGAGGAGACTGGCGCGCCAAGGCCCGGGCTGACCTCTATGAGCAGAGCGGAAATTACGTGGTCTCGTTCTCCATCGTGTTCCTCTGCTTGTGCGTGCTGAGCGGCAACACTGGGCCCGGGTACTCGGGGGATGCGTTACACTGTGCAAGCGTAAATCATGTAAATGTTCCTCCTTCACCGAGCGCGTTCCACTACTCGCAAAGTGCTTACTCGCAAACGCTCGAAAAACATGTGCCTTCTCCGGTGAAGTTCATCGTAGGTCGTAGGTCCCCCGCGGCGGATGCAGGCCATCTGCGAGCACACACTTCGCGAGGAGTGGAACGAGCTCGTCTCCTCCTCCTCCTCCTCCTCCTCCTCCTCCTCCTCCTCCTCCTCGTATCATGTGTGATGCATGCCAGATCTTTACGCTGCGGACGGCTCACCCCAGGTACTTCGGCAACTTCTTCGACTACAAGCTGTAGGCGGCCTGCGTCGCCGGCGGGCCTGCCGGCCGAGCGCCCGCTGCCGGCGGGGCGCGGGGTGGCAGCAGTCGGAGGCGAGTCTTCGGCGGCTGCAGCAGGGGCGGCCACGATTCAGTCGGGCGTGTCCCCTCACAGGAGGAAGACTTAGAAATTGTTCAAGCAATAGTCTGGGGACGATGTTTTGAGCAGTCTGGATTGAGCATGTCTTCTAGTTTGTTTGCTGGGTATGTGTTCCCCCCCCCCAACAAAAAAACAACAACAAACATCGTCCACAATCCGCCTGTAGGAGGACATGCCCGACCTAAGGCCATGAGGAAAGTCCAGGAGACCTCGAGCGGCGCGGCACAGTTTTGTGACATCTGGTCCTCGTCCGCCCCGTCGAGTATTCAACCAGACGCGCTCCACGACTCGCCAAGTGCCTGCTCGCAGACGTCCGAAAAGCATGTTGGCATCGATGTAGAGGACCGTGGATCCCCCGCGGTGGATGCAGGCATTTTGCGAGTATTCATTTTGCGAGTAGTGGAACGCGCTTGTCTGGATAATTTTGGGACGAGGCTCGTGCGGCGATGCTCCGACTCGAGTCAGGCGTAAAGTCGACGCGAGTCCGACATAAATCCGGCGTGAGTCCGAAGTGGACCAGCGTCAACATTGGGTCTGAAGTTGCCGAAATCCTCCAGTACTTTCCTCATGCGGATAGCCCAGGGGGGGAGCATGTCATGTGCAGTCGGACCGAGGTTTAAGATCGAGGTCGGTTCGGGGAGGTGTTCGTCGTGTTTGTTGGCTGTGCTTGTGCACCCTGGGGAGGGTACCCTCGGATGTTCTGTGTGTTTCGGCCGGCGGAGGGCCTCACGCTCTTGAGGGAGATCTTTCTGGCCTAGGCCCGATTGTATCCAGGGGCTCCGATCGCCCACGTCTTCGACGAGGCCCACCGGCGAAAGCGTGTAATGCCAGTCCTTGGGCTGTCCGCCCCTCTGAGCTGCCGCCGGAGTGTCTTTTGACGTTTTTGTTGCAGCCGTGGGCGGGCTGGGCCGACGTGGCCGCCCGCCCGCCCCAGCTGCGCGCCTTGAGTTTTTCCGAGCTCGGGCGGACGCTCCCCGGGTGCGGCGAGCGTCTCGACGGCCTTCGCGCTCCGCGAGGCCGTGATTCTGACGATGCAGCGCCCCACTCGACGTCGCGACGTTGTCCTCCTCCTCCTCCTCCTCCTCCTCCTCCTCCTCCTCCTCCTCCTCCTCCTCCTCCTCCTCCTCCGTTGCCATTTTGGCTCAAGTCGGCGCACTGACCCAAGAGTGCGCCTCCTGCGGGCCGCCGAAGGGCTCCTCCGTGCAGCCGTCGCCGAGCTCCGCGGCGCCGCGGTGCCGAAGCCGCCCGCGCAGGCGCCCCCCCCCCCCCCGGCTGCGGCGCCCCCTCTCGGAGGCGCCGACGGCCCCGCGGGGGGCGCGCGGCGCGGCGGGGGGCCCCCCCGCAGGCGAGCAGAGCTCGGGCGACGACGCGGACACGGAGCCGCCGAGGAGGGGCGGCGGCAGAGCGGCGGCACCCGATGCGCTGGCTGGGGGCCCAGGCGCGGCGGCGGCCGCAGGCGCTCCGCGAGGTGGACGGCGGCTCGGCGTCCCTCGACGACTCGACGACGGCGGCAGGGCCGACGGCTTCGCCTCGTCCTGACGCACGGTCGGAGCGTCGACGCCATCTCCGAGCAGATGCGCCTCGCGCCGATCGAGCAGCTGCGCGCGTTCGCGTCGCTCGGCGAGTCGGTGCTCGGCCAGGGGCGCTAGGAGGTGGTCCTCTTCAGCGGCTCCGTGGTGCGTGTGAGCCATTTTGATGGCCCCCGCCCCCTCCCCGTTCCCCCTTCCTTCGCCCCCTTGTCTCCAGGCGGGCCTAGGCGTGCGCGTCACTTCCCCTCAAGGCGGTCCTAATCTAACCTTCTCCTCCTTCCTCCTCCTCCGCCTCCTCCTCTTTCCTCTCCTCCACCTCCTCTTCCCCCCTCGTCCCAGATCCCATATCCTCCCTTCCCGTCTCCACCCCGTCCCTTGTTCCCTCCCATTGCCTTCCTGATCCTCCTCCCTCCCTCGGTTCTCTCATTCCGAGGAGGGGATGTAGTTATCCATAGCCACCGCCTGGAGGATTGGTCTTCGTTGACCTCGGCAGGTGGTGGATCTGGATATGTTCCGGGCCGCTGGGGCCGAAATATGTCCACATCCACCGCCCGTTGGGGTCCCAGGACGTCGGTTCCCCAGGCGGTGGATACGGATGGACCCCGACTCGCACTCACAATCCTCCACCATGTGTTCCTGCTCCGCCTGTGGCCAATACCACCCCAAGTCCCTCCGCATCGCGATTCAGGGTCAGGGCCCCTGGGCTGTGTTTGGATCCATCCGAGGCGTGTGGCACAGCTACATGGAGGAGTGATTGTGTGTTTCCTTGGATTGTGGCGTTTGATGCTGCGTGCAGGCTTGCAACCTGCTCCTGTGACTCATGTGAGCGACGGAAGAAAACGGTGCCGACTGCGCGGACATTCGCGCGTCAGCTGCCCGCTTCAGGTCACGCGTGACAGATCTCGTTTCCCATTACTGTGCCGCGCTGGCGGCCCGCGTAAGCCGCGGCGCAAGGTCTCTACGTCATCGCGCGTAAGACCCATCTCTTCTGGTCGCTCATGTGGTCATGCCATTGGCTCCAGGGGGGGGCGCTGACCGTCCTGCCGCACGTTTTGCCGCTGCGATCCGTCCGCGTCATCTCGCGTTTGCTTCGCCCCCTCCCCTGGGGGAGACGGCTGGCAGATTCCATTTCTCACGGTTTTTTAGAGTTATTGGGAGATCTATCCAGGTCGGTTTGCGTATAGTGGCAGTCCGTCACGGCAGACGTTATTGACGTTCGCGGATGGGCTGTCTTGGCGTTCTTTATCGGCATTGCGAGAGTTGTCGGGCACGTGTTCCATCACATCGGGGTCCCCAGAGTTTTCGTTATTGGTTTCAATTCATGGTCCATGAAGCTCGTCTTGGAGCGTTGCGCTGGCCCCTGGTTTATCTCTATGCAGGGCATCAGCAGCGAGATCGTACGCGCGACTTGGACGATCATCTCGGGCACATCTTTCGCGGATTTGCTGATGAGGTCCATGATCGTTCCAAAGCTCGACTTGCAGACTGGTTCGTACCAATCTGCTCAGTACGGCGTCATGGCCGACGACGCGCAGCTCCTCTCAACAGACACTGTCCGCTTCCAGAGTGATCAGGGCCCGATCGTAGCCATCTCTTTGATGCATGCTCTGACGGATAATGCGCGCCTCCTGGCTCCCTTGGAGGCCAAGCTTTCGGTCTTGCTGTGCTCCGACCCTGCCGCGGCACGGGACGTGGTCCAGGCGGCGGCGCCGCTGTCGCATTTGTCGCAGACAGCGCTTCCGACAGTGGCGCGCAATCTGGGCGTAGCCTTGACAGTCGGACCGAGGTACAAGACCGCGGTCGATTCGGGGAGGGTGCCCCAAGATGCTCTTGTGCATCCTGGGGGACGGTACCCTGGAATGCTCTTCGTTTTGGCTGGCGGAGGGTCTCACGTTCTTGAAGCTGTGTTCTTCTATTCTAGGTCCGATTATATCTTTGTGCCTCCTCCTCCTCCTCCTCCTGCTCACTCCTCCTCGCTCCTCGTCGCTCCTCCTCATCCTCCTTCTCCTTCTCCTCTTCCTCCTCCCTTTGCTCGCTCCTCCTCCTCCCCATCCTTCTCCTCCCCCTCCTCCTCCTCCTCTTCCTCCTCTTCCTCCTCCTCCTCCTCCCCCCCTGCCTCCTCCTCCTCCTCCTCCTCCTCCTCCTCCTCCTCCTCCTCCTCCTCCTCCTCCTCCTCCTCCTCTGGAAACGAGCCGTCATCCCCCCTCCCCTTCCCTCCTCCCTCCCCCTCCCCCTTCGCCTGCTGCTCGAGCCGCCTCCCCTGAGGACCAGCCGCCTCCAGCCGACGCGCGCACGAGCGCGAGGGAGATGGTCAAGGCGACTGGGGGGGGGGGAGAACGGGGGGAGGAGGGAGGGAGGGGGGAGGAGGAAGGGAGGGGGAGGAGGGAGGGGAGGAGGAAGAGGAGGAGGAGGAGGAGGAATTGGAGGACCAGTGTAAACCCAAGAGGCATCAACGATGTTGGAATAAACCCTCCCTTCAAGCTCCCTCACCATAGGCCCCTACAACGGTTCATTTCCATTGATGGAACTGCCTCGTTGGAAGACAACCGTTTGAAGATCCTGCAGCATGCCAAAATCTTGCTCTCGGGATTCCAACGCCACGGATCAACCTGACTGTTGCGTGTTGACAATCCAGGATCGTGACAGATCGCCATTCCAGTGACTTCAACACAGCGAATCAACGTAAATGTTGCGCCAGTGTAATCCTGAATACTTGCACATCACCGCTTCCGGTACGTTCATGATGGGAACGCGTGAAACTCTTGCAAATTGTTACAACGAATGTGCGCCTCGCCAAGGCGAGAGCCACATTTTGAAAACGGCCCGCCCTCAATCCGTGAAGCTCTTGTATTTTGTTGTTTCTTAATGTGTGCGGCTCTAAGGCGAGAGCCGCTTTTTGAAAACGACCCGCCCTGAATCCGTGAAACTCTGGCAAGTTTTGAAAGCGAATGTGCGCGGCGCTAAGGCGAGAGCCACATGTTGAAAACGACCCGCCCTCAATCCGTGAAGTCCCTGCAAATGTTTAAACCGAATCTGTGCTGCGCCAAGGCGAGAGCCACATTTTGAAGACGGCCCGCCTTCAATCCATGACACCCTTGCAACTTGTTTCACGAATGTGCACCGCGCTAAGGCGAGAGCCACATGTTGAAAACCACCCACCCTCCATGTGTGAAACTCTTGCAAATTTGTAAGTTTCAGAGTCATACATGGTGTGGAAGTCTCAGGCGAAACGCCCGGCCCGCCCTAAAAATTAGCCTCGGCGTGAGACAGGGAGAAGTTATTTGTAAAGAGAAGGAATGGAGGAGGAGGAGGAGGAGGAGGAGGAGGAGGAGCAGAAGCAGGAGCGGGAAGACGAGGAGGAGGAGGAGGAGGAGGTCAGGATCGGGGTCAGGTGGCGTACGGGCTCCTGAGCCCGCCTGAGCTGGCACGCTCGCCACCGCACAGCGAGCCATCCGGTCGGATGCCCGCTCTTTGAAAACACGGGCCGTCGGGCAACACAGAGGCGCCACGGCTCTACCTCTCGACCCCCCCAGGCCTCGGGGTAGAACCCACGGCAAACGAGCCGCGCCGAATCGTGTCGACGCAGAGCCCCGCGGCCCCAAAAGAGCAGAAACGCCGTAACGCCAGCCTCCGCTCAGCTCGCGGCTTCCTCACTTCGAGCCTGGGGTCATAGCTCGAAAGTGTCCCTCCTGCGAGGGTCGTCACCGCCTGGTCCAGGAAGCAGCTCTTTATGTCGATTGCCTTCGCCGGATTGACTCGCGAGCACCGTCGGGGCGCACGCGATCGTCATTTCCGGCTGCTCGTGCAAGTCCTAGTTTCGGAGGGTCACCAGCACCGGCTGGAGCGAGGCACGGAGCTCAGCTTCGAATTCGTCGCCCGCCTTGCGTCCGCGGTGCCCGTCCTCCACCTCATCGAAGACCGGCTTCTTGTGCTTCCTCTGGCGGCGGCCCGTCTCGCCGTTGGGCCTCCTTCCCGTCGGAGCGGCGCCCGAAAACCGGGAACTCCTGCCCGTCGCGGAAATATAACGTTGACTGGACCTCGGTGTTCGTCGGCCCAGGCTCACCACCTCCGCTTCCAGCCTCCTCGCAGCCCACCTCGGAAAACAGAACTTTTTCGTCTTGGCCCCCCTCCATGAGGAGGAGGGAGGAGGAGCAGGGGGAGGCAGGAAGAGGAGGGAGGAGGAGCAGGCGGAGGGGGAGGAGGAGGAGGAGGAGGAGGAGGAGAGGAGGAGGAGGAGGAGGAGAGAGGAGGAGGAGGAGGAGAGGAGCAGGAGGAGAGGAGCAGGAGGAGGAGGAGGAGGAGCAGGAGGAGGAGGAGGAGGGCGGAGAAGGAGGGAGAAGGAGGGAGAAGGAGGGAGAAGGAGGGAGAAGGAGGGAGGAGGGAGGGGGAGGAGGAGGAGGAAGAGGAGGAGGAGGAGGAGGAGCAGCAGGAGGAAGAGGAGAAGGAGGGAGGAGGGAGGAGGAGACGAGGACGAGGACGAGGAGGTGAGGAGGAGGAGAAGGAGGAGGAGGAGGAGGAGGAGGAAGGAGGAAGGGGAGTAGGGAGGAGGAGGAGGAGGAGGAGGAGGAGGAGGAGGAGGAGCAAAAGGAGGAGGAGGAGGAGGGAGGACGGAGGAGGAGGAGAGGAGGTTGGAGGAGGAGAGGGAGGGAGGAAGGAGGCGGAGCAGAGGAGGAGGAAAGAAGAGAGGAGGAGGAGGAGGAGTAGAGGAGGAGGAGGAGGAGGAGGAAGGAGAAGAGGGAGGGAGGAGAGGAGGGAGGAAAAGGAGGAAAGGAGGAAAAGGAAAAAGGAGGAAAATGAGGAAAAAGGAGGAGGAGGGAGAGAGAGGAGGAGCAGGAGGAGTTGGGAGGGAGGGAGGGAGGGAGGGAGGAGGAGGAGGCGGAGGAGGAAGGAGGAGGAAGGAGGAGGAGAGGAGGAGGAGGAGGAGGAGGAGGAGGAGGAGGAGGAGGAGGAGGCAGGAGGATCACCAGCGGCAGCGGAGGAGGACCGAGGAGGTGCGATGAGGACTGCTGGGCGCCCGCGCGACGGGAGCTTTGCACTGATTTCCGGTGGTCGTCGTCGTCGTCTCGAGGTTTTCGAACATGTTCGTCGGTTCTGGGGGGTGTTCCAGCGTCGGGGTACTTCTCTTGCAGCTGCGCCTCGCCGAGCGCGTTCTGGGAGTGCTCGGATCGTCCTGGACGGTCGTCAGAGACCCGAGTTATGGACCGCAAAAGCCAGGCCTCCTCGCGTCATAAAAAACAGATGCCGGAAGGTGATGAACATTTTCAGTCTCCTGGGGCCTTCACCAGGCCTCAGGACCGTCATAAAACAGTTCAGAGTTCAAGACTTGCCCTGGGGGCAGGGTCGGGAGTTCGGGGGACCCCGGTCTGAACAAATCACCATGTCGGATCTCAAGAAATGGTGATTTGATGATGATGGTGATGATGATGATGATGACGATGATGACGATGACGATGCTGATGATGATGATGATGATGACGACGATGACGATGACGATGACGATGACGATGACGATGACGATGACGATGACGATGACGATGAGAATGAGGATGATGATAGTGATGGTCATGGTGATGGTGGTAGTGGTGTTGATGATGATGCTGATGATGATGATGCTGGTGATGATGGTGATGATGATGATGTGGGTGTTGATGATGATGCTGATGCTGATGCTGGTGTGTATGATGATGCTGATGAGGATGCGGATGATGATGATGCTGCTGATGATGATGATGTTCATGATGAGGATTATGATGATGATTCTAGTGATGAGGATGACGATGGTGGTGGTGACGATGATGAGGATGAGGATGAGGATGAGGGTGAGGGTAGGGATGCTGATGATGATGATGATGATGATGATGATGACGATGACGGTGATGACGATGATGCTGATGATGATGGCGATGATGATGCTGATGATGATGATGATGATGATGATGATGATGATGATGATGATGATGGTGATGGTGATGGTGATGGTGATGGTGATGGTGACGATGATGAACCCCCGCTCAGGATTCCGCGGAGTCGCGATCGGGGGGATTTTTTCTGAGGCGCGCATGACTGAGCGTTAGGCCTCTCACCATGTGTTGGCGGCGCGTCCGGGAAACGACGTCCCCTCTTTGTGCTGGCTTGCTTGGCGTTCTTGCGCCCTGGCACCATCAGCGACAAACCCTGTTGTCCAGCACACACACACACACACACCCCGTGGCCACAGGCCAGTGGGGTCTTCCGGAAGCTCGCCTACAGTTTGTTCTACCGCTACCCTTCGCACGGACTTTTCCGCGACCGTGCTTTCACATCAGCTCCTCCTGAGAATTGATGACCCCCCAGCCTTCGCGCTGATACCTGGCGCCGCACAGACGGGAGTTGCACGACAGGGGCGTCCCTGTGAGAAGGCAGGAGGCTTCTTGGAAGCCACCGTGCCTTCTGAGGAGCCTTCTGAGATACAAGAAGCCCCCTGTCGACTTGCCAGCCGCCGCCAGCGGGCACCTCGCTTTCACCCAGTGCACCACGGATTCTCTCCCGCTGGCTTTGGGCAACGCGCGAAAAAGTCAGAGAGCATCCCCACTTGGCCCCGCTAGGGCCCGCGAGTGTCCACATCCACTGCACCTTGGGGCCCTATGGCACAGGCCCCTCCTCCTCCTCCTCCTCCTGCTCCTCCTCCTCCTGCTCCTCCTCCTCCTCCTCCTCCTCCTCCTCCTCCTCCTCCTCCTCCTCCTCCTCCTCCTCCCCTCCTCCCCCTCCTCCCCCTCCCCCTCCCCCTTCCCCTCTCCTCCTCCTCCTCCACCTCCTCCTCCTCCTCCTCCTTGTCCAACTGTGACCACCAACAGTCGGTCGCTCGCCCTACGAGCCGCCCCCGCTTAGACCTCCGCTGCCTCCAGCGGCGCCTGGGACCCAGACATCCGACGCCGCGTTCTGTTTCGCAGCGTGGCTCCCAAGAGGTCTGGATCCCTTCCTTCGGGACCGGTTTTCGCTTCCCCCGCATGTATCATCGATCCGTTCGTCATTGCAGCATTTTGGCGCGAAGCCAGTACTCCCTGGAGAGGGGTTGAACCAGCGCAATGCTTGTCGAAAAAGTATATTTCGACTTCAGCTTGAATTTCTTTCAGATTGCCATTCTACCTTGGCTTTGCTTCTCGGAGACAGCTTCTGCTCAAACCAGACCTCGTCGCGTCGGGCAATATTCGCGACACTGTGTCGCGAATTTTGCCCGACGCGACGAGGTCTGGTTTTCGGGTCATAGCTCGGATCGCCGGCGGCCGCCGAGGACGCTCCTGCAAAACGACAGGGCCGTTTTTTTCCGCCAGTTCCGT